ATCACTTTCTTCTACTGTGGCTTATAAGGTTATTAGGGGCAGATGCTGTGGCTCATATTCACTGTCTACACTTCTGATACTTTTAGGCCTGTAAATATTTCTTAGTCAACTGCTTGCACAGAACCTAAATAACTTGCTCACAATTTTCTAACTAACGTTTTTGACTTCATTGTCTTGGAAACTTTAGTACATGAAAAATACAAACATCATTCTAAATCATATTCAGCTGGAATAAAATATCTTAATCTCCTGTGAACATGATGTGACATCTACCTAGGAGGAACTATAATAATGTAATTGAAACTCTTCCTTCTTTTTTTTCCATTAGAGGCACAAAAATGGGGAAATTCTTCATTTCTACATGCTTTCTTTTATAAAAGCAAACATGTACACATATCTCAATATGTTAAAGTTTCTCCGCTAGGTACTGAGAAGAATAAAATGATTTTAAATACAGTTTCTCTTCTAAGTGATTTTTGTCAACCCTCAATAACTTGACTCTTTTTACTTATTAGTACACTTTCAACATGGCATTTTTCAAAAGACTAAAAAACGCTTGCAGATTAATCTATAATAAGTTAAGGAAACTATACAAGCATTGTAACAGTAACTACCTAATTAAGATCTAAAATACAAAATAAATATTACAGTGTGTCTAAACATATTAGCAACCTGTAATCTATCTTTTCAAATATTTTTTAAAGCAATTGAGCCTTCTTTCAAGTGCAATCTTAGTGACAAGCCCATAGAGTAAAAGCACAGAGGCAGACTGTTGGGTGGCTGCACACCCACTCCGGGGGCTATGGTGCCTGAGGTTGAATCCAGTCTCTGACCAAGCAGCTCCGGCATCACGGACAAATTGCATGGCTCTCCATGGTGCAGTTTTCTCCATGATAAACAGGGGATGCTAGCCGACCTTATCTTATAGACTGTTGCTTTGGTGACATTGTGAGAATAAAAAGAATTAATTAATATAACGTACTTAGGTAGCCAGGCACTGTGGCTCATGCCTGTAATCCCAGCAGTTTGCGGATCCGAGGCAGGCTGATCATTTGAGGTCAGCAGTTCAAGACCAGCCTGGGCAACATGGTGAAACCCCATGATTTAGTAGAGGTTTCTAATAGAAACCTCTACTAAAAATACAAAAATTAGCTGGGGGTGGTGGCAGGCACCTGTAATCCCAGCTACTCGGGAGGGAGGCTGAGGCAGATTTATTTGAATCCCGGAGGCAGAGGTTGTAATGAGCGGAGATCACGCCATTGCACTCCAGCCAGGGCAACAATAGTGAGACTCCGCCTCAAAAAAATATATACTTAGAAGAGTGGTTGGCTCTATGTCAGTGTTATTATTATTATTATTGGACAAAAATATTTTCTGCTTGACACTAAAATACTCAGAGGAAGAATTCAATTACCAGATGTTTCTATGTATCTATGTTTATATTCACAGAGCTAAGATTTCTGGCTATTTGGCCAAATGTTGAACTTTGGATCTAATGTGTAGCATCAGAGCTGAAGCTCCTGTGATTCTCAGAACAGGCTACTTCTGATATCAAGGTTAATTGGTGTGCTAAATATACATGTCTCACAGAGGTATAATGAGTGCTTCTGCAGTCTTTGAATTATTTTTCAAATTCATAGGATGTTTTAAATTTTAAAAAGTTCATGGAGTTATAGAATTTGGGGGATGTAAAGGGCTCCAGGGGTCCCCTAGCATGACCCTTAATATGACAGATCTTATTAATAAGAAAAATAAAGCAACTTGTCAAGTCACTTCATCAGGATCATTCAACTACTTAATGATATTTAACTATGACTGGAACCCAGGTGTACTTGGGACTCAGCATCATTTGACACTATATTGCTGTCACAGATTTTTCCTCTCTATTCTGTTCCCAGAGACACTGTATCCTAAGGAGAGATTAAGGGAAAGGGTGTGGGGAACAGTCAGATTTGGGCTCAATCTGGGTTCAAGGCTGGTGACATAAGGAAGGGCATCTTCACATCTCTAGTCAGTTGCTTCATTTGTAAAAATAGGATACTAATGGAATTATTATGAGCATTAAATTACATAATGCATCTAAAGAACTTGACACAATGCCTGGCACAGTGTAAGCACTTCACAAATGTTAAGGATCATTATTATAATTATTGTCACATATATCACCATTGTTCTGAACAAATTATATGTACAATGTTGGTACCAAAAGTTCTTTTTCTCATTTACCAAACCCTAAGACATATTTCTTCAGTCAATGATTTTCCATAGGGTGGCAGGGAGTGGGTGTGAAAGAGAGAAAGAGAGAGAGAGAGAGAGAGCTGTGCATATGCATGTTTCCATTATTTGACAAAGTCAGGTAGCCCTGGATCCTATGGCTTCTTCAATTCCCCTCAGCTTACTTGCAGTCCCTGTGATAATGGCCTGTGTGCTAACCCTAATATGCAAAACCTGACCCTTGGATCCTCCAGCTGATAAGATTTGATTATGGAAGAAACATTCCCAAGGAAGTAGGGCATCGGTTATGGAACTTCACCAAACTTCAAATGCTTACAGTAGCAAAGATGGGCCATGATGAGACTGAATGGGAAACCTGGTCAGTACATGATTTATACCAAGATAAAAATGCTTGGAAATTTGACCTCTAAACCAAAAGGTCTGTATTATCAGCTGTAGCTGTTCTACAATCTGAAATCGAAAGCTGGAAGGGTCTTCAACTGAATGTGAGTATTTCAGAAAAATAAATACCAGTGGGATATTCTATTAGTTCTGAAAGTCTAAGTGAAATATATCTAATTTACCTGTGAAAACCAATGTAAGCAATATCTGGAAGAGTTTTCTTGTTTGCTCATTTTGTTTAGAGTTGGAACCTGCTTTTCAGGAATGAAATGACAGAGCTATAATCCCTAGCAAAAAATTTCCCAAATACATCATAGAAACTAGGATAATCCTTCATGAAGTCAGAAGCAAAAAAAAGAAAACAGGAAATAACTTCCTTTATCATTAAAATAACCACAGCATCCACTCCTATCCCCATTCTTCCATTTCCCCAGGTCTGACACTCTGCAGATGACCGCCCTTATTTGTCCCTACATGTTTTCCAAAATATAAAAGTGAAATAGAGTCCCAAGGGCACTGTACTTGAAAGGTTATGAGAGTTAGAGAATTTTAACCATGCCTGCCAAACCAGCAGATGGCTTGTGATTATAATTATATGCATCAATAAAACGAATAATCTTTACAAAATTTGAATTTCTACTAAAGTAAGGGATTTAGTAAGCAGATGCAACAGAATGCATTTTCTTTAACCCTTTTGGTAGACACTAGTGTCTTTCACACACAAAAAAGATCCAGGACTGCGTAGATAGTAGGTTGTGTACTCTAATTTTTGCCCCTTTCTAGAGTAGTCATAGTGTCAGCCTCAATCTTTTCCTGATTTCATTTACTTCATGAACATATTTCAACCTCACCTCATTTTCACCCTTCAGAATAGAAATGTTAAGACTAATTCTCCACCATTGTTTGATATTTGAAAGAAAATTTAAAAGAGGTAAATACCTTCATTCTAATTCATACCAAGTATACTATAGAAACAAAAGAGCAAACAGTGGACACATCTTTCTATCTGATGGTATTCTTTTACAAATTAGATTTTCAATAACACGTTTTTGTTTTCATATTCTCTTTAATCTACATTCCAGGAATGAAAATACTCTTTATTCTATTTAAATAATTAACCATTTCCTTTCAGTTTGCTTCTGCCTGTCATTATAAGTAAGAGTAACTAAGTTTTATCTCATGCCAAGCATGAATTCACTCATATTGAAATTGGATATATATATGACACATCTGAAAAAAAGGATGGGGTGAGGTTTACACACTGGCCTTCTGCCATGTTTCCTTCATGAAGGAACCTCAGAATTTAGGGAATTAAGTTAAGCTAGCTTTGTTTACTTTCAAATCTTGGAAGGAGTAGAGAAAATGTACCACAAAAATTTTCATTCTTATTTTTTTATAAAATAGTAATGGAAATATTTTTATAGAATTACCAAGTGTAACTCTTCATTAGAATAGTATCAATTAATATACATTTCACCCAGCATACCAACAAATATAATATTTAAGAATATCTGGAGAACCTATATTTAGTGCAGATATCTCTAGCACCTTCAAAGTTAGTTGCACTATATAAATCAAAAAAAGTAAAACAGTCTGATCTAAAATGTTCTTATAGTATTGTAGTTAACTCCACTTAATAGTATAAACAAGTTACTAATAAAACTTTAAAGGCATTGACATTTTTGCAGGTCAATGCAATTTACCTATGGACACAAGATATACGAGATCAGAAATTCTCAGCAACAAAATTCTTTCAAGTTACAACTTAAATATATAGATCAAACCCTATCAGAACAAATGTTCTGACAAGTTAAACCAAAAGAGTAATAAGTTTTTGCCTAAAAATTTATAAATTTGATGTAACATTTGACAACACTATATTCAAATACTCGTAAAGAAATTCAGATATCTCTTGAGTTCACTGGAATGGAATTTTATCTCCTAAGATTAAATATTCAGCAATTAACTGGGTTCAAGATTCTTTACATAGGTGATAAAAATAAATAAAGTAAAATATTTTTCAATTATAACATCCTTAAAGAGGGAAAACTTAAACCAAATTCAATGTATCAATTAAAAGAAACAATCTAAGCCAAAAAACTTATGAAATAAATCCCAAAGGGGCAAAAAAATTAAAAAAAAAAAAAACAGAAAGAAGAAAACCCCATAATCTTAAGAGTTAAAGACCTATGCTGTAAATACTTAAGTTATAGATGTTTCCTTTTTAAATTCAATGAAATTAAATATTTCTGCTTATAGGGAGTTTAAGTTGACGAGTAATAAAATTTTTAGGTATACTTTTGTTAGCTACTAATAAAACTCTGCATAATAAGCCAATTTAATCACATATGCTTAATATATGTTTAGAATTTTTAACATGTTACCTTAGTCTTGATATGAGCACGCAGACACATAAAATGGAATTGTCACAATGCTTCAGGGACACTCACAAAATTGGGGGCTCTGGAAATGAAAATACGAGAAAGAGTTCTGTACTGGTACGAGAGAATGCACAGGCGGTGTGTGACATGACATTGGCACGTCCACTCGCTGCCTCAAACCGCAAGTGAAAGTTAAAAACACCAAACACAATATGCCAGGGGCATTAGGTAGATGATCTTACTTAATTTTCACATAAGTTATAAGGCAACATTTATCTCCCATCACTCTTGCTCCCATCTAACAGACTAGGAAACCGAGGCCCAGAAAAGTTAGAGAACTTATCCAGGGCACAGACTGAGTCAGTGGAAGAACCAGGTTTCAGATATGTGAACTCGAAAAGGGAGTGTTGTAGATTCTCTTGTCACTTTGTCACTCATATGCACTTAGGATGACTGCCTTATTCTCTAGCAAGCATTTTATAGCTCCTCTTAGATGGGGATCCTTAGGGGTGGAAAAGAGGTATTACTAACAGCATCTACTACAGTCCTCTGAACTAAGCAGTTTTAATATTTATTTGTTAAATGAGTGAATCAGAATAAAAGTTCAGTAATACAAAGTTTATTTCTGACAACACAAAATAAGTTTCTCAAATTTCTTTAAAGAAGGAAGTTGTCAAGTAGATAAAGCCATGCATATTTTCTTTAAATAAAAAAAATATATATTTCAGATGCAAGACCCATATAGGTGGAAACAAGTTTACATAAACCAAAAGTAATGATCTGGGCCTTCTCATTTTAATGACAACACAGACCTATTCTGTTTTGAAGAATGACAATTACATTTCTGTAAAAGTAGCTCCACTCCTTTTCATCCACAGCGATGCAACTAAACGAACTTCAGTCAAGTTTGTACACCCTTTGCTGTACTGGTAAGGATGTGGGTAAAATATTTACAGCCAGCCAAAACAATTACGTGTTTTCTGAAACATTCACTCTTGTATTAACAGGAGGGAACATTAACAACTATAGAAAAAAAAATTGTAATACATGAGATTCAAAAATAAAACATTCATCACAGAAAGAGAGCCTAATACATTTATAATGCCTGAAAGAGTGAACTAGTTGCACAACTCTGCCTTAAACTAAATTTGTTAGGCAGCAACTGTAGCCATTTTTAGATGGTTTGCTTTTTCCATGATTTCTATCACATGAAAGGCATAATGATGATATGACATATTAGAAAAATCTCAACTTAGTAAAATCAAAATCTATTTTCCCCACATATATTTTACTTGAAATTAAAAAGACACTATTATACCACTTTCTTCACAAAATTTATTGCCTCCTTATTTCTGGCTATTGTTAAAACAATACTTAGAGTTGGTAATATACAACATATATTACATTCTCTACAGACACGCATATAGTTCTAAACAAATTAGATAAACAAAATGAATGTTAGGGGCACATTTAATAGAGGAAAAGTACTTCATGAAAAAAATGATTAAGAAGTATGTGACCTCTGATCACCCAGACCGTATTATTTACCTATATTATGAATCTTTCATGAATACTACTAATAAGCTATTTATTTAGTATCACAATACTGCTATATCCTTAGAGAAATAAATATTTTTCAGTATAAGTAATGAAAGTTAGCAAACTGATTTCTATACAGAGTTTTAATTCACGAACAGATGATTATGACATGCCATTCTAACATTAAATGACAGTGGCTTTAAAATTGAATACTGATACTGATATTATGAACACATCTATTTTAAAACACCACACTTACATTAACAATACTTTTTAAATATTTTCGATGAGACCGTCAGAGTTTATTAAACCACTGACAACCCACTTAGCGGACAGTTCTTAGAATAAAATATTTAATTTACCTGAATGTCTTGTAACAATATCATCCTCTCTTGAACTAAACATCCTCTGAATACACAAATCTAAGGCAGACAGACATTTCAGCAAGGCAAATAAGACTTTCTGGCAACTTCCTGTTGCCATATTTCTCTAAAAGGATCCTGCAATGTTACACTTCAATCCTGCAAACGCATTTTTCCAAGGGACACAGCAAGCCAATGCTGCTCCAGTGTCAGAAGCTTTGATTTTTTTCCCAAGTACAGCAAGCAAATAACCACTAATCCTATTCAATATTACAGATTCACAGTAATGATACTATTTCCAGATTCAAGAGAAATTAAATACAAGAGGAAAAGAGGAGCTTTTGTTTTCTTGTTTTGTTGTGCTTGATTGGTTGGTTTTTAAGACACTGATGAAGGAAATAGTTATTCTATCTATGTTATTAAATATATATTAGGGGCTGGGGCAATTTTGCTTTGTCAAGAATGAACTTCACTGCTCACATTCGTGCCCCAGGTTTCCATTATCTTTCAGAAGCAGTAAGACTAACTAAATTTAAAGTTGCCTCGTACATTTGAAAGTTTTCAAACCTGAACCAATAACCTGAATGGTAGTTATGGGCAAAAGCACCATTTCTCCAACAAATAGCCTACCTCTCAAATTCAAGTTCACTTGCATTTTGGGGTTTACTTACTTTTTAAATTTACAAACTTTTGTGAAACAGCAAAACAAAACAACAATAACAACAAAATAAGAACACTGATCACTGAAGCGGTATTTCCAGAAGTGATAGCAAAATCCCTTCATTCTGACCTACTTGTCGAGAAACGGACTTTCAGCCCCACGGTTAGGCTAAGATCTGTTCCACTTTCTCCCTAGGGCTTAATTGCCAGACTGACTTACCGGTGCCTCCTAGCCTTTGTTCTGCCTCTCACGCTGACATCAGGGAAGCAGTGATGTAGAATAAAGCAGGGGTGGGCTAGGTTAGTCCAGTGTTTGTGTCGTTGTGTGGTGTGCAGGGACACTCTGTGATACTCTAGTGAGCTGCTAAGCTTTTTTTGTAGGCTTTGTGTCATTTACTTAACGACCAATCTCATTAGCTGCCAGGGTACAATGGGCTGATGCATTTTCTATGTACATACTCCACACAGTGACCCTCAAGGTTGCCGAAGGTCTATTTAATCAGTCAAATGCTGAATATATTTGCAGTAAATCACTAAAAAAATTTAAAAAATATGAGAATACTGAGGTGTCTTACAGACTTAATATTTCCTGGTGGTTATTTGCAGGTAATAAAATGCATGCATATTTAGCCCAAACAAGGATAGAGCAGGTGGAGATGAATTGTGGTTTCCACTGGTTTGCACTGGTGACCTTAATTTTAGGAAACTTTCAGATCAAAGATATTTTCTCTTAGCAAGGAGCCCAGATTTGAAATTTAATTTCTGTGTTAGTTTAATCATATTAGCACAACAAAAAAGAATTGCTTTCTTGAGCAGTTTCTCCTTCCTCCTTCCTCGCCCCCACCCCAGTCCTACCCCCTACCCAAGCAGCCTCAGACCTGGCAAAGTTGCATTTATGCCCTCTTTCAGTTACAAGGTAAAAACCCTTTTAACTCCTATGAAAAATGAAATGCTGAGAGCACTATGAATGACGACAGCTGTCCATAAGTATCAGGGAGAGTTCTATTGTCCAGCTTGTCCCTGGATAAAATGAATACTTTACAGCAGAGGCTGTTCAGCTTGGCTAAAGAGTGTGGGGAGAAGGGGAGGAGGTCACTGGAGATTTCGCACACTAATTTAATCTGGGAAAAGGACAGGCTCTGCATCTCCCTTGAACAGACTGGCAGCAATCTGGGCCCCCACAGAACTATCTCCTTTTGCCTGTGCTCTATTTATTCCTTATCTCTGTTTACCAACCGCTAGGTCCCTTTCATTCACACCACGAGGCCGTTTTCCTACTATCAGTCAGCAGCTGACACTGTGGAAGAGCCTCAAAGGCAAAAAAAAAAAAAAAAAAAAAAAAAAAAAAAAAAAAAAAAAGATCAAAACTAAACCAAAGCTGTATAAACAATGCCACAGTACAAGTAAATGCATAAACCCTGATTCTTAACCCAACCCACAGGGTGCAAACAGAACCTTTATAGTAAATCCAACAAACCCACCACAGTGAGCTGTGGGCCGCAGAGAAAGAAAAGTCAAAACACCATTCATGAAATCACCATCCAAAAAAAAAAAAAAATTGCTAAAATATACACTGGCTACTGAAGCAGCCTTACTTTCAGGGATATTCTTATCTCTATCATAGATCAATTAACTGGCCACCAAGAGATACTTACCTGGCTGGGAAAGGTGACCTATACAATTCTAAGGGAAGCCTGGCTCTCATTAAAATGCCAGCAGTTAAAAAAATATCCACCAACATGATTACAAGCTAAAGAGGATGAAGCAACACCAACTTTTCCAACACCTTATCACACTGATTGAATTTAAACAGTTCAAGACTCTTGGTATTAAACCCCCATTTTTTTTAAGTAAAGATATTAAAAAGTCCTGTACAATCCAATCAATGAAATCTTCTTCATGTCTTGTGGATTTTACCTCCTTATGTCAAAATGATTAGCATGGCAGAGAAGTTGGGAGAAGACTACTTCATGGACAACTTTTTAATATTTTGAAGCACTCTGCAGGGTGTGATCAAAAACGGAGATTAGAGCAACTAGTTTAAAGTGTGGAAAGAGGAGAAAATAAAATAAGTGTTTTTTGAACTGTGTAACCTTTGAGGAAATACAAATCTTGAAAACTTTACTTATATTAATGTTAAGTGCTAAATACTTACCTGAATATTTCAACAAATGGGAAAAGCCCTGCTTAATATAAACATTTCTTTGAAGTGATTCAGAATTTGTATATAACATATATGTGTATGTATAGACGTATATATATGAATATATTATAAGCATAGGTATACACACTGCCTCTCATATACACATACACAAAATGAGAAGTGCATAATTTCTAATGCCTGGAGTTCCTCAGATTAAAAACTGAGATTTACTTTAAATTTCCCTGGGCTTTTTTAAATCATTGAAATGATTGGGAATGATTGGTTATTGTCATAAAAATCAACACCGCATTGACTCAATCACTAAGATCTTTACCAGCAAAAGGAAAGACAATGCAGCTCATTATCTAGGATGATCAA